CCAAGACATAGTAACGAAATCAGTTAATGTGGTTATTCCTTGTTTTCCTTTTGTTCTTCCCGTTCCTGGCATATAGTTGGTGCTCTCTTAGTTAAGGACTTAATAAATGCTTGCTGGTAAATAAACATGTCATAGCTTCAAATGTTTTCTGTGACTATATATATTTATACTTCCTACAATCAGACAAAAGCATCTGAAGCAAACTCTGAAATTTTCCTTTGCAAGTAAACAGCAAAAAAAAATTGTATACAAGCACATATGTGAAAAAGTCATAGAGGCTTCCCACCCCCCAGGCCCAGATGATATTAAGAGTCACTACCCATAAAGCTAACATAAGGGATATTCAAAAATCAAACCCTAGTTGTTTAAGTATGTTGATTGCAGAGAGATGCATGTAGACATGGAAATAAAGGATATAAAATGACAACAAAACTTGCATAAAATTGGTCTCTCATTCATGCATTTAACTATCTAATTCACAAGCTTTAATGTTTCAGCCAAACAGATGTACTAGGTTTATCTCTATAATGGGCCATACTGCTTTTGCACAGTTGGATTCCCTGAGCTATTTTTCCAGAATGCTTTGAAGTTACAGACTTTTAAAAATCAGAATTAGTAAACAACTGACACATGTTTAACATTTTTCTTTTACCTATCCCTAAACTCTTTTTTTTTCAGAAATTTATTTGATAATACATGAAATGCTTTTTATCCCTATTCAATCTGGTCTAGTGGTTCAATAAAGACTGTAATTCTGAATAACAGCTGTACTTCTTAAAAAGAACATATTTTTATTGAAAATTATTACTACCTTTAACTCCAGGCCTGTGCACGGACTCTGTCATTGACTAATTCTTTTTTTCATAGGGTTTAGGAGCTTTTTCTAAATTTATTTTTAATCCAAATGTAAAGATGCTTTCTGTACCTTTTAACAAATTCACCTTTTCATTGTTAGGAAGTGGAAGAATGGCAGCATTTCAAAGATCAAGTAGTTAATCATATGCAATTCAGCATTATCCATCACTAGGAATTTGTATAAATGTACAATCAACCAACAGGCTGTACAATTCATTTAAAGACCTAGTTAGGATGAAAAAGTGCTTATCATATTTATAACTTTTGATATCTGTGTCATGTTTACACAACTAGAAAAGCATGCTAACCATATGGATAATTTTACTTATATTTTTCTCTTGGATACGCCCCCAAACTTTCTAAAATATGGCTACCTATAGGCAGAGTTCAGAAAGCATGTCAAATCCTCAAAAATAAAGTTTCAACAGATTGGAGATCTTATTTATAAGTTCCTCATCTTAGCTTCCTAGTAAAATACACTAGTAGAGACATTCTGAGTCACTTCCTGTTAGGTTTAATTAGTTTAGATCATTGGGGAACAAATTATAATCTAATAAGCACAATATTACAGTTAACACTATGCTTTGTTTAGTTAACTATTTAGCATGTATTTATTCATTTAGTTGATCATTTTTCATTTATCGAACACTTAATATGTACAAGACACTGAACTGTAGGAAAAGGGACTATAAAGATAAGCCACTTTTATGCTCAAAGGACTCAGAAACAAATGAAAAAATGGCAATTACATAATAGTTTATGTGTTATGATAAATATATCTTCAGAAGCATAGAAGATGGTCCCTAATCCCAGCAAATATTTCCTAAAAGAAGCGAGATCACAGCCAGAATTAGAGGATGCATAGCAATTTGCCATATGAAACCAAAGAGTACAAATAAAGATTAAGCAGCTTAGTAATAAAGGCACTTCAGGAATTGAAAGGAGCAGACGTATGTGGCAGAGAGTCATGATGCAGTCTTATGTCCAAGGGACAAAAGCCATTTGGAATAACTGAACAATTAAATGTGAGGCATGAGTGGTAAGAAATGAGAATTGAGCCCTGGAAGGAGCCCAATAGTGGAATATTGTTCATGTTCTAAATAACTCAGACTTTTAAACTGTGGGCATTGAGGAGCCATGAAAATATTTAAAGAATGGGAATTATGTAGTTAGCTCTCCCTGATAGAAATAACTTGGATATATCTGCAAGTATGTGGAGCATATGTTTGCAGGGGACCAAATTGAAAAAAGAAAGATTTGTTAACAAGATTCCTGTAGTTCAGATGAGAAATGAAGTAGGCCTAATCTAGGTAGCAGTGTAGGCTCATCAGTCTACTAGGTGAGACAAGATTTCAACTTCTAGAAATATTTAGAAGGTAAAATTCATAGGACTTGGTTATGGGATATAAAGGATAGAAGAAAGAGAAATCCAAACTGTTTTCAAAGTTTCTAACCTGTATATCTGAGTGGCTGGTAATGCATCAGCTGGAATAGAGAATATGAGAAGCTACAAAGTTTTAAAGTGTAAAATGAATCAGCGTTGGAGTTCATGGTGCTTTTGCTATATCCAGAGAGTGGTCTAGTGGGCAGCTGGATATACAAAACTAAAATTAAAGAATAGGTGATACAGATTTCGGGGATCAACTGCATATTAGTGGTTATTAAAACCATGTGCAGAAAATTGGGCAGATTGGGAAGAAGTAAGATGAAAACACAGGTTAATTATATCTAACTATACCAACTTTTATTTTAGTCAGTACTCATATCTATCAACATCTCCTAGCTATTTCTCCTCATATATTGACAGTTTTGGCACATGGCTCATTTTTTCTCTCCCGTCTGAACTGACCATCATTGCAAATAGTTTAATCAGTCCTCTGTGCTCACAGTTCCTTGATCAGCTTTGTTTTTTTTATTTATTTTTATTATTTATTTTTATTATTTTTTTTCCTTGATCAGCTTTGAAGTCCTTTACTGAATCTTAACTTCAGGAATTGATAAATACAAACTTCAAACTCCCTCACACTGATGTTTCCACTTTTGTTCTTTGGCCTCCTCAAAAACTTTATTATCTCCCACTACTACTCTATTACTTTCCAATCTTATTCTTACTGCATTATTTTTTTATTGTTTCATGTACCTGAAGAGCTACCATTTTAACCATTATCTTGCCAATAATCTAAAATAATTTGCCTTGTTATCCTTTTTCCATGTGCCTAACTACCCACAGCTAAGTCTGATTTGTTCTTATTTTTTATTTGATAATTATGTGACCCTTATATAAGTTATTTTATATAAGAACTTCATAATCTTTAGCCATTTTAATTCTTATAACAAAGTCATGAGATGGTCAAAACCAGGATTTTCCCTGCAAGAAAAACTCACACCATCACACAAATTTGTGATCCCCAATCTAGGCAATAACATTTCTATGTTTATTTTTTTAATATTTAATTTATTTATTTGAGAGAGAGAGAGAGAGAGAGAGAGAGAGAGAGAGAATGAACAAGCAGGGGGAGCAGCAGAAGGAGAGGGAGAAGCAGGCTCCCTGCTAAGCAGGAAGCCTGACATGGGGCTTGATCCCAGGACCCCAGGATCACAACCTGAGCTGAGGGCAGATACTCAACCGACTGAGCCATCTAGGGGCCCCATCATTTTTATGTTTCATTGACTCTTTTTTTTCCTCTTTTTTGGAATGCTCTCTATGGAAAAATTATCTACCATCCTGTGAGAAAGGCCAAGCCATCCCACGAAGAGAGAACATAGAAGAAAAAGGAAACTACCAGCATCAGCCACCAGACATGTAAGTGAAATGCATAAGCCTTCAGATGAGTTCATCTTCAGACCTTGAGTTGTCTAGTTGAGTACTCACACATCACTGAGTAAAGACAAGCCATCCTCCCTATGTCCTGTCTAAACTTCTGAGCCATAAATTTGGTTTGTTTGGAGGAACTGGTTATCCAGATATGGTCACTGGTATACTACCAATAACAAGTTTATTTTTAAATCCAATAAATATCTTTCAAGTCTTAATTTTACTTGATTTTTTGAAATGTCAACATGGTCAACCAAACCCTCCATCTTTAAATATTGTCTTTACTTGGTATGTATACCACTGCATGGAATACATGGTACTTGAGTCTTTCTCATTACTCCTTCTCAGTTACCACTGAAAACTCCTCTAATCCATTCCTTTTCTAAGGGCTGTGTTCTCGGCCCTCTCTGGGTCAGTGGTCTCAAATAAGAGTATGCATCTGAGAACAACTACTCAAATTTAATGGCAAATCTAATAGCAAGTGTGAATTAAAAAAATGAGATTTGCAAACATTAAGGCAAACATGTCACGTATCTCTACTGTGATACGTATTTCTCTTCTTCAATACATGTGACAGGTTTGTAAGAAACTATCGATCCACTAAGTATTCTATTATTTCATTCTGTACAATGGCAATAGTCTCAAATAAGGAATTCAATAAGTATTACTCTATTCTAAAATGATGAGAGTCAAAGAATTGACTAGACATTTTAAAGAGTAGGGCAGATTAAATATTGAATAACAAAACAAAGACATTCTTTAGAATATCATGACATTGTAAATTAAATCATTGGTAAAGATTAAATATTAAGATGAAAGATAAGACAAAGTTTCTTATCAGAATCTTAAATTAATCAAAGTTTTTTCATTATCATTAAATATTTTTAATACATTAAATAATGTCTCTGAGCCAAGAACCAGTCTCAGCATGTCTTACATATGTAAATAATTAAACAGTATCTGCTCTGGTAGTAAATTGTTTCATCTTAGTAAGACTATTTCTCAGAATGACAGAGAAAGGGTAAAAAAAAATTAGGTGGTGGGGAGGAGGGGAAATCTGATCTTGACTTTCTTGTGAACCTCACCTCTGACATTCATTTTTGGCTTTGTTGATGAAATTGAACCTACATCAAAAGATAATGAACCATTTTTGTGGGAAACCTGCTGTGTTTGAGATCCTCTAGGAAAGAGTAGGAAATGTTCTTTTCTGAGCATTGCTGTGAAGACCCTTTAGAACGCTTATTGATGTCAGATACAGAACATTCTTAACTGATTCATGGCTTTTGAAACATATTCCTTTTTCATAATAAAATGTATTTATTCTCCTTACCTTGCTGTACAAAGGATCCATACACAAACCACATGGAGTTGTAGAGAGTAGTAGAAGTCATTGATCCCATTTGTAATCGTGGGGGATTAAGCCAATTCAGGAGGTAGACCAGAAGACCCACCAGAAGAACAGTGCCAGCTATGCAAGCCCATAGAGAGAGATCAAATGGTGCAAGACAGGCAAACATATCCACTGTCTTTTCAGCCCTTCGAAGTAGTACTCCCACTGAGTAGTCCATATAGCGTGTTGTAAAGTCCACAACATTCTCACGATCTGGAGTGATAGTTAAAGCAGAAATCCCTATGTCGGCTCTCTGAGAAATTGAAAGAGAAAATATTAAATTAACAATGTGAAAAACAATTTGATTTGTGATGTTTCAGCTTGCCTTAAGGAAAAGAAAATAGATGCCTGAGGCAACATCTTTAGTCTTTTTATATAAACCAAAAAACACTGCACAGACTTCTTAGAGGGAAACTCCGTGTGAATTTTGCATTTCTTACTACAAACCTTGCTCTACAAGAGTCAGATAAATTACCTTGTTCATATTATCAGTGCATGTGAAATCAGGGAAGAATATTTCAGACACAGATAACACCTGAAGGAAATTGTCTGTTTTCCTTGGGTCATTTTATCAAAGCCATATTTAACACAGTAGCAAAGGTAAGACTTATTCTAAAGAATCTTTTCTCTTCCCAAGATATTTAATTATGTTCTTAACATGTAAATTATCAGGCTGGTAATTAAAATAAAAAACAAAAAACAAGACACCTCAACCTAGCATTTTACCTTTGGTTTAGACTTCTCTGCATCAGAATTGATATTATTAAGCTCTAAATACATTGCAGTTCGTTAGAACTTTCATATAGCACTAAGTTATAATGCCATTTGCCAAAAGTCTCAACTATGATTTTATTGTATAAACCTCAGAAATGTTTTAATGAAAAATTAAAGCTTAATGAGACATAATTTTTCTTGGAATAACAACCCTTCTTTTCAATGTGTATCAGTGATAGCACTCTAAACTAAACATTCTGTTTTACTTATTTGAACCTCACAGCAAAATTGCTATGTACTATTGCGATAACAGAACAAATGAATTACATTTAAATTCTACAATATGAGAACACATATTTAAATATCTAAAAGATATATTTTGTTTGAAATAATGATCCATGGCTATGAGTAAGGCTGTGGGAAGCTCCTTCCAGACAAATACTATATTAAATTGTTGAACATTTTTGTTTTTATTTTGTTATAATACATATTTATTACGTATTATTATTGTTTTATGAAGGAGTAAGTATGGAAACTGGTTTTATTGCTTTTGGAGACCAACACAAACAAGCAAGCAAGCAAACAAACAAAAACAAAAACAATATGAAAAGTAACATACCTAATGGAATGCTAAACCAGTTCAAATAAATCTAGTCTCTGAAGTAATAATGGCTTCAAAACTATTCTAAGCTAAATTTAAACCTCTTGTGTTTTTTTTTAAGATTTTATTTATTTATGCATGAAAGACAGAGAGAGAGAGAGAGAGAGAGAGAGAGAGAGAGGCAGAGGGAGAAGCTGGCTCCCTACAAGGAACCCAATGTGGGACTCGATCCCAGATCCTGGGATCACTCCCTGGGCCAAAGGCAGACGCTCAATTGCTGAGCCACCCAGGAGTCCCTCTCTTGTGTTTGTGTGTGTGTGTGTGTGTGTGTGTGTGTGTGTATGCATATACATTTACACACATGTATCAATCCATATATATTTGCTGTTGGCCCAGTACTAAGTAGTTAAATAAATTTCTTATTTAATCCTTCTAATACATCATGAATTATGTGTTTTCCCCTCCATTTCATAGATAGAGAAACCACAAAGAATTAAGTAACTCATTTAGTGCTCATAGTTAATAAGTATAAAAGCCAATATTAAAGCTCAGTTTTCTTACTCCAAACCTGTCCTCATAACCACTTACCCTATTGCATAAAATTCTTCGTTTTCCAAATAACTCATATGGTAGGTGGTTAAAATAACTAGGACAATTTTTACCTTAAAAGAGTCTAAAATTTTGTGGGTTTTTTATTGCGCTATTTATATTGCAACAGGGCCATGTTAGTAATAAACACTGAGTTTATACTTATAGAGAGGTATTAAATTTAATAACACTACATGAAAACGAACTTTTTTAGAAAAATAATTATTATTGTTTTCCAGCTCACGTATTTATTTTCTATAGCTAGATATTAGGAAGCGGGTCTTTTCAGACTGAAAATCTAACCTGGATCCTTACTTCTTCAGTTCTATCTATCCTGAGCTTCAGTTTATTCATTTGTGAAATGAAGGTACCTAAGTTTAGTGTGATTATTGTGAGTTGACACATTTATCTTAATACTAATGTTGAATAAATATCTCTCCAAGATTCAATTAGGCTTTCAGAAGTCGCCTTTAATTTTTCAGGACATTACAGTACTATGGATCAGTAATTTAGTAATTAATTGATGGACTAGTAACCTAAAGCATTTTATGACTAAATTAAAATCAGAAAATTTCACCTAAGGCAGAACTTACTGACAAGTTGACTGAATATTTGTAAATATTCATCAATATTTTGTTGATAAATAATTGTTTAACAAGTAAATGATTATGAATTGGAATGGTCACACAGTGATTCTACTAATAGATACTTTTAAGTATCATGAAGCGAATTTCTATAATGGAAAATAGATATCTAAGGAATACTGTGCACTTTTTGAAAAAGGAAACTGATTTTATTGTATGTGCTAAAATATTTATTAAAATAATAATTGCCTGTCTTTTTTTTATGGAGAACTTCCTAAATTCTGGTCCACTTTTAAAACTTGGCTAGAAATTCCCAGTCTCCCTCTGGAGGACATCTCAGAATCATTTAATGGCCTTTTCAAACTGCACAAATACATTTACATTCAGACACAACATAAAAACATATGCGCATATTTTCCTATTTCTGAGATTTCCTACTTCTGAGGAAGTACTTCATCTTCTCCTTCAGAATCAATAATATAGCAGATCATTGTGCTTGATATGAATATGTGATAATCTTTACTTGTATAAGAGAAATTTTACTGGAGCAGAAAAAAAAATACCAAGAACCACTGATTCAGAAAGATAGCCCCAAAACTTCTTGAATCTTTCAAAACTACCAAAAATTATTAGAAACAAATGATAATTTGTATATTCCCTTCCTCATTCACTGCCTTCTTTCCTTTCTTTCCCTTTTCTCTTTATTCTTTTCTTCTTCTCTCTCTCCATTTCTTCCTTTCTTCCTCATCATTTGTTTATCTGTTTATGTATGCATACATGTCAATTCATTTGTACAGTTTATATGTTTCAAATCTTTACCTCATTAAACATTTAATCTTCTCAGTACACCCCCACCCCAACTCTTGGAAGATGACCTTTACTGATATTTTGTGGAGAACATAGATGTCAGTTTAAAATTCAGGCTTATTTCTATCTCTCAATCTATACCCCATTCTATTTAACCGTTATCTCTCAACCCATATCCCTATTCTATTTAACCTCTATTTACATTGGAGGAGCTGTCTTCCTTCCAAAAACCAACCCTCCATCCATCAGTAAACTTATTAACCAATCCCTCCTTTCAATTATTTAAACTCCTGGTTTTTTTTTTATGTATTAAACATCATCCTAACAACTGTAAATTTTCTATGAAAGGATTCTGTAATTCTTTTGCATTAAAATAAAAACAAAAACAGAAAAGCCTGTCCTCCCCTCCATGACTTCTGAATCCCAGTTATACTTTCTCTCCCCCTTTTTCACAATTTTCTCTAAAGATTTGTCTCTATTTCCAAACTTCCTAGTGAGTCTGGGAAGATTCTTTCGTACCCATATTGTTAAGTACTCTATTACTCACTGAACACAGCACTTCTTTATTTTTGCATTGCTGAGTGAAATGGACACGACTTAGTGCTCATCTTTTTAGTGCTCATCTGTTTAGGTTTCTTGACCTTTGACAGTGACTACTCTCTCCATCATAAGCATTCTTTTCCTTGGATTTCATGACATGATATAAACTACTTTTTCAGTTCTATTTTCAAGCTTATGTTAGCAATCCTCTGGACTTGGGCCTTACAGACTTTTCTCATTTGAGATCTGCTGCCTAGGCAATCCTTTTATATCCGTTACTTCCATTGTCCCCATTTATATATCAGATTTACAAATTTATTTTTCTAGGTATATCTGAGTTCTACAGTCTAGACTGATTTATGTAACTACATTTCTATTAGATGTCTCAAAATACCTCAAATTTAATATGGCCAAGGCCATATTCATGGTGTTCAACTCTAACTGGTCCTCTTCCCATGTTTCCTGTTTCAGTGAGTATCTTTTCACATAAGTCTTAAAGCTTGGTGGTCTCATTATCTTTTCCAATCTTATGCCTCCTATCCTGTCTGTCACTGTTGATTCTACCTCCTAGGAATCCTAATAACCACTCACTTTTCTATTATTTCCAGCTCTCACCATTGCTTTTATGGGCTCATTATCAGTTTACCTGAAATCTAGCATTTTCTTCTCTTAATCTCCCCATTACAGACAAAGTAATATTTTTATAGAGAAAATCTAATCCTGTCCCTTGTCATAGTTTAAAGGTTTTCAATAGATTTGTGTTGCTCTTAGGAAAAAGATTAAACTCTTTAACATAGTCCATACATATTTAGATAGACTCTCTTCAATCTACCTCAACATTTACATGTGGAACTATTTTCCTTTCCAGCACTTCTTCCTGATACATGGTTTTTGTACATGCTATTCCCACTAAATGGACTGGGTTTCCTGAAAATTCTTCAAGTAAACTCTTGTTCATATTCATAAATCAGCTCAATTATCACTTCCTCAGGGTAGCTATCCATGACCCCCTTTGATTAGAAAAATAACTCTTATATATATATATATATTATATATATATATATATATACACACACACACTATCAGAGGCCTACATTCCTCACTTCTCTAGTAGTTGTGACAGTTGTTATTTTACAAATAATTATGTGATTAGTTGGTTAATGTCTGACTTTTCTACTAGACTACAGGCTCCATGAAACTAAAGACTGTGAATTTTTTTTTTTTAATTTGACATATTCCTGGTATCTACCACATTGGTCTGGCATAGATTCATGATCAATAAAAACTTGCTTCATATATGAATAAATAAAGATGGAACATTTACTGGATACTCATTATTCAATTCTTATAAAGTCTCTTCTATTCTTCAGCATTCCTGACAGAGACAGACTTTTACAGAATAAAAAGAAAATGGTAATA